TAATAATTATTAATACGATCAATTAGCATGCAACAGAAAATCTTAAATTTAGTTCAATTCTAACTTGTTGGTAGTCATCAGTAAGCCTTTAGGAACTTTATGCCCTAAAAATCCTCTAAACATGCATCCATACCTTGAAAAATTACTAAATATGCTCAAAAAAATATGTTTTAAAACATTTTTATTTTATTTTAAATGATTTTCTTTATTTTCAATGAAAATTAATTAAATCCGCATACTGGTATATTGTCTGGATTTAAATAATCTATAACAAACTATTAAATTTGTATATTTTAAGTGTAGATAATTCATTTTTTTATGATTATTTAGTTTTAATTTTATTAGGTATTCCAAAATTATTTTATAGACCAATAAGTGTCACAATAGAAAACATTTGTATAAAATATGCATCACCCGTATCTGAAAAGTAGCCAAATACACACTTATGCGAGAATAAAAAAGGTCAAATATGCAAAATTAAAGATAAAATTTGAACTCTTTATGTGATGAAAAACATATTTTATGATGCATTGTTAATATAATATAAAATACTAAATAACTTACTTATGTTCTCAGAGAATACATAAAAAGACTCTACTTACTATAGAACTCCCTAGTCGTAGTCCCTTTATATACCTTGACAACTATCTATTATGCTACAACTTGCAAATCACAATTCTAACCTTGCTAAAAAATTATATATATATTTTGTAGGTTTATATTATTGTTTCGGTTACAATATTATAGAATGCAACTGCGCAGGTTGCAGGTACATGAATTAAATATTATTAAAACAAGTTTTTTCAGAATCATAATTCAACCAACGAAATTTATAATCCGTATAGTAATATACTGCCATATTATTATACTGGAAGGCATCTTGTATTTTTAGTTGAGGTATGTATATTAATATAATTATAAATCATTAAAACAAATTAAACTTAATCCGATTTATTAGGCACGGTGATTTCTTTGTGTATCATAACATTAGTCTGAAATATTTGCATTACGTATATATTTAACATACGCTTATATGAATTATATAACAAAATAAAATATATACGTTGTGTCGGGGAGACAGACAATGTAGAACCAGGATAAAAGATGAAAACATTTTTTTTTTTTAATTTATTAGAAAAACTCGTTAGCGATATTTTAAAATAATATTTTTTTAAAAAACAATATCAGTTATCCATTTCTGAGGGTACACTTGGTGAGTAGATTTTTGAAATTTTGCAATGCCTGGAGCAAGGTATCAGGTGGGATATTATTGATTTTTTGACGAACCCTCTGTTGAGATCGGAAATGGTTGTGGGGCGAGTGTTGTACACGACATTCTTCAGATGTCACCATAAAAAAAATCACAAACGGATTGGTCTGGGGATCGGGGTGGCCAATCAATGTCAGCATTCCTGGTTATAGCGCGGTTACCGCGAACATCCATCCGACTGCTGCCATTGACACTGTCAGCGTACTCCATCCTGTTGAAACCAGGTGTTTTTTGTAAAAATTGAAGTTTTTGAAAAAACTGTTTCAAGCATCTTGCCATAACGTCTTCGGAAAGTCGCTGTGACAGCAGTACCAAATTCGAACAAATTCAAACTTTTAACGACTGAAAACCGTTCATCGTACAGTGACAGTAGGACAATGCAGATGACGATGTTAAGAATTTTATTCCGTCTAAGAACGAAAAAGTCGTCTTTTAAGTTTTAACATACCTACATTTTTCGGTGAAAATGGACTTTTTCCAACAGGTGAAGATTCCAGATGAATTCTGCGTCCTCGTTAATTTTGTCCTTTTATCGTTTTCAGAATTAGAACAAATTCACTCGTTATAAGTTTAAGTTCTTGAGCGATGATAACTAAGTTTGCGTTCCCCCACTTCAAGTCAACATAGGAACACCACGAACTTCTCATCATCCAACGGTTTGACCAATATCAGATTCAAATTTCTTGATTCTTTGAACCACCCTGTATATATTTTAAATGTATATAAAAAAAATACATGTACACCAAAAGTCTTAAATTCATATACACATTTTGAAATGTATATAAAAATGTCCAAAATACTCTAAACACAATTATACTTAATTTTTGAACGTATAAAAATAATGGATAAATGCACAGGTCGGTATGAATCGCAATAACGACTTGCTTATTTATAGTTATAATTTGTTTTTGTTTTATAACGTTTTAATCATCTTAATAATATATTAATATTAAAATACTAACATACCTAAGTACATATAATTGCACCTGAATGTATACATTTTCCAAAAATTGCTGAGTACAAAAATTTGAAAATTCTTCTTTCTTCGTGTTTGTCGAATCGGCCGAGTATGATTAATGAGATGGTCCACGTCATTTAATATCTCTCCTTTATTTTCACAGGGTTTATAATATATACTCGTATATATATAAATATTTTATGCTTGATGCCTATTGAAAATTATTTTAAAACGTTAACTATGTTCTAACGCCCTTATCCCTTCACCCCTCTCGGGCTCATTTCCCAACCTGTACCTGACTCATTAAACACTCCACACTGTCGGCCGGGTGATTTATGTATATTCCGGATTTTTATGTTTTTCCAAAACGTATTACAATATAATGACTATAAAAAAAAAAAATGAAAAGATATTATCATTCTCCAGTACAGTTTTTAAGGTAACTTGATTTGTTACCTGCTGGATAGGTGGAGATTAGATTAAAAAAAAATTATTTAAAGTGAATCTGTTTTTTGAACACTTGAAACGTGGGGATTCAGCATTAATATTGTGATTATAAAATAAACATATAACGGATCATATTTCATAATCATATTATAAATAAATATTCCGTTAATATCATCTGTCAACACTCATAGTCAGACATGAGTGTTGAACGTTTAAAGTCTTTCCAATTAATTTAAGTTAATAATAGACTGGTAACAATTTACAATGTTTCATTTCTAAATAATTAATAAAATAACGGTTAAAGTGATTTATTGGATTCCACATTTTTCTATTATTGTCTTTATTCAAAACTTCATGAAAATGAATCCAATATTTTATGTACAGAGAGCTATCGCTGCTTTTATAACTTGACACTTTAATAACTCGAAAAATGACTGCCGAACCATATTTAAACGATAAATCATTAACGAAACAATTAATTATGAGTTGAATGGAATAAATATGGAATAACCGAGGAAATGAAATTGGATATCGTCGGAGTTGATATACTGTGCGAATTCGTACACACAGACAGAGAATTGAGAAAGCAATTGGTCGTATTATTATACAGATCGAGATGGTATACCCGTGTGGGCCGACTGCAGTTGTTACTCAATATTGTCTTAGCCTCTGCGATTGATTTTTGCAAAGAAATGTCCCACAACCATTAGCGCTCCGAAGAAATGTCCACCGAAAAGTTTTGAGAGTGAGTTTGAAAGTTGTTTTCAAACGAGTGTTCGACGATAAAATAAATATTAATTTGAATACACATACAGTATAATAGTTATACCACCCTATAACTGATGTCGTCATAACGCCTTAAAATCACTGGTTTTTGCTTCGTCGTCATTGTATAATATGCTGTATAGTGATATAACAGTATTCATATTAATGATTCTCTCAATAATCGTTTGGTATCTATAATAAGACACATTTTTTGGATTTTATTTAATATTTTATCATATCAAATTCTGAAAGTGTTTGAAAATAGTAGGTGCATATACTTTACTTCATAATTGTTATTGATTTATTTGTGAGCTACATAAACTTGATAAAAAAATATTTAACTTGAATATATATATATAAACTAATATATTTAAACTGAATACATCATTTAATGTTATATATGTTCAAATTCTCTGATTTTATTTACATTCGTATAAAAAAAAAAAATAGTCATTGTAAATTTGTATTGAAAAATGTAAATAAACCACCTACCTCGTACCTATTCAGTTGATAATATAACAATAGCTAACATTAAATTTTCTATTAAACACACAACGTTAATATACCTTTTTATTCTTTTAAACTATTTTGTTATTTACTCAAATATAAACTTGATTAAAAGTTTTAGTTTTATAAATTAAAATTTTTCACAAATTGTCAATGTACCAATTGAGAATTAAATTAAATATTTGATTTGAAAGTAATTAATCAAAATCTGTAATAAAAGTATCTACTACAGCCTACGAATAAAGTGTTTCATATTGGTGAACAAGTCTTTTAATAGTAAAATATTTTATAAAATGAACAAAACAATATATTTTTTTCAATATTTTCTTTTATAAAAAAAAAAAAAAAATGGCAACAATATAGAGAACTCGTAACTTTTTTTACATAACTACTAAAGTATAACTTTGAACAAAATATTTAATTATTAAATATCTTTATGATTTTTGAAATGTATATTATAATTACTATCTTAATAACGTTATTTTTTAAAATTAAAAAATCTCATGATTAATTTCCGTTCGACGGGCGGCGGAGAAAAATGTTTTGTGATGTCTGAGATAAAAAAAAAAGAAATGGGTTTTCTATCTGCGGCTAAAGCTAAACCCGACAATTTCGCTGTCTACGTGACCTGGATAAGATGTTGCATTGTGCTAGCTTGCGTATTATTGTAGTACATGTATTATGTATATACGTAAATATATATATTTTTTTCGTATTTTATATATATATATATAAATTTGGTTCGCCTTCGTTCGGAGAAAGAACGGCAGGAGACATGAAATAATCAGACCCTGGAAAAGTTCCATAAATCAACGCCAACTGGCCCCGGTAGTTGTCATCAATTACTCAACATAGAGGAAACAGCACTGTAACACTTTTTTATCATTAACAGTAAAGCGAAAAAATACGCCTAACTGAAATACATATATATATATACAGATATATGAGCAGAATATCCGTCGGACGAATAACCCCGTCCCCTGCGTTCTCCTGTTGCTTCTTCTTTTAAAACTGATAATTAAAGGAACGAAATAATATGAAAAATTAAAATAATAACAATAATAATTTTCCACGTTTAATCTACTTAAAGTCATATTTACACGTCGGGTCTATTATAATTAATAATAATGTAGTCGTACAAAATGTCAGTTACAATAATACATCATGAAATTATAATTAAATAATTAAAACAATGTAGTTTAATAGAAATCAAATGCATTCAAATATTCTTATGCATTTGACTCAGCAGCGTAGCATTAACATTCGATGTACGATACATGATTCAAAATATTATGAAAACATCATATTATTCACAATTACAGAAAATGATACTAAAAATATATCAGTATTTAAAATTACATTCTTTTTTTTTTACACATTTTCACAATCGACTTATATGATTACACAGCAACATAAATTATTACAAATACAAATACAATTATATTGTTGACATTTTATCAAACGACATTCAATCAATATAGGTACATTTGTTAAATTTATATATCTATCGTACATAGTATTTATTTACTATTCGTAGCAATAGCATTTTTGAGTTTAATTAGTTATAGTTAATGAATTAATGACTATTTTTTAAACAATACATTTTTGCTACGCTGCGCCATTTCGGCTTTGGTCTCAAACATTGAAAACATCACAAAAAAATACAAGTTTAAATTTATACTTATAAACAGTTTATTCTTCAGACTTATTTCACCACCTTTCTACGTGGTTTAAACTTTCCAGGCTCTTAATTTCGATGCTTTGGTAATCCACATCCGCTGTGTTTTGCCTCCAATGTAACCTCCTTAGTGCGTCGCCCCTCATTCCAACCCAAACAGTACCACACGCCAAAAACACCAACAATAATACAATACACCCAAAAACAATCATACCTGGATGAGTGGTTTTCACTACAGCATGTGCATTCTTCGGATCGTTTTTCGCTCTTAGTCGTGCAAATACTGCTGTCTGTTCTGTTGTAGTCGTAGTGACTCGATAAGTCAGAGTCGTTGTAATCGTGGCACAGTATTCCGAATCGAACACCTGTTGAACACTGCCATTATTTTGTCTACATTGCACACTTTCCACAGTGGACTTGAATTTTTGCGGCAGGTAGTTCCTGAGTCTCAATTCAGTTTTACTCAACTTGTAATGTCGGTCTTCGGATGCGTGGATCTCACACAGCCAGTCTCTGAGCCACGATTCGACGCGCTTGAGTTCGTTCACAATTAATGTTTTAATTTTGGGCATATGATAAGGTAAACGGTTGGGAAGTGAAATCACATCACATTCCGTTAAGTCTAAATATTCAAGCTGAAACAAAGATGACAGTACAGCACTGTCGTTTAACAGGATTGTAGCTAGATGTTTGCTGTGCGCCAATTGGATGCGGTTCAAGTAACGTGTATCTGTGAATGGGAACGTTGGTGTTTCTGGTGCCGTTAGCCCTTCCAGTTTCAAGACTTTTAATCTTACTGGACCTGTTAACATTTCTCTAGTGATCATTTTAATTGGATTTTCGGATAAATCTAAAACATCGAGAAATAATAAAGACGCAAATGTAAGGTCCTGTATGTGTCGAATATTATTTCTCCGAACATTTAATATTTTCAGTCGTTTGCAACCCTCAAAGTCTTCGACACTCAAGTTCTGTATTCTATTACCTTCTAGATTTAATCTTTCTAAGCTTCCTGGAAGACTTTTTGGAACCGTTTCCAAAAAGTTATCACTCAAGTCCAACACGGTCAGTAAATCCAGCCGACCAAATGCGTCGTCTTCAACCATGGAAATACGATTGCCACTTATGTTAAGCAAATGGAGAAGAGGAAAACCATCTAGGTCACCACTGTTCACTGCTTTTATCGCATTGCCGCTCAAAATGAGTGAGCCTAACAGGGGAGCTGGCGTGACTGGAACTTCTGTAAGATTTGTGTGTGAAGCATCCAATGCTTGAAGTCTTGGACCGGAACCCAAGACAACAGGTGCTAATTCTGCGTTTTTTGCAATGTTCAATTCAACTAGATTTTCAAATGGCTGAAACACTGTTGTACGGTCGAGATCATAGTTTTCGGAAACGTCGAGATATCGCAATGTAGTACTTGGTAAGGTTTTTTCTGATATTCTTGTTAACGCGTTACCTCGTAAGTCCAACCATTGAAGATCCGGCATTCCAACAAACGTATTATTTTCAATCCATAAGATAAAATTATTGCCAAGATCCAAAACTTCCAAAGAAGACGCATTTACCATATCGGTTTTATTCAATGACTTAATATAATTCCAACTCAGCGTTAGATTTCTTATGTCTGTGCACATTGAGAAATTGTGTACCTTATTGAACGATAATATCATTGAATCGACCCTTACCATATTACCAATAGCGACGTGGCAAGGATTTAGAATGTTATTTCTGGACAAGTCGAGCGTAGGTAACGTAATGTTTTTATCACTAGCGAAATAAATCCCATTCAAATTATTTCGCGATACATCCAATTTAGTCATACCGTTAGTGTGAGTCAAGTCGACTTTGTACGGTATGGCATCACAGTAAACATCGCGCGAGCCGTTTGTAGGCAACTCCAAAACGCATTCTTTTTGGATTTCTGCAACGATTACTGACAGTAAAGAAACTACGATAGCGTTTATGATCACTACCATTGTTCGTCCGCACTCACGACTTCACAGCCGCCATGCTAATTATTTGAATTTCCTTGATATTCCTATACCGCAAAAACAACCTTCGGTCAAATTTTTTTCATTCTATATATCTGTAAATATAAAATAAATACTTTAATTAAAAAAAATATATTATTTTTTTGTGAATATAATTACACGTATTTAAATTACAATTGCTGTGTACGATTTCGAACAATAAATAAATATGTACATCATACCATATGTTATATTATATTAATATACGTTTAACACGTTAACTGCGTATTATGCCAATCATATATATATATATATATATATATACAATAATGGTATATATATATATATATATATATATACAATAATGGTATGATTATGACATATTTCTGTTTTTATTTTTCGAAATAGTTTCTCCCCTTCAATACCCCCTAACGTAATTTTTACTCTCAGTATGGGGTTGGTCTGATTTGACCCTTTTGTTTTCGACGGTTGCGTATTACCAGCTCATATATATATATATTTATACAATTTTATATATACTTGTATTTATGAAGGCTATAACAATGGTCAAAATAATAAACCCACATCACAACATGAATTTCATTTAATTTTTATTTAACGAAGTCCTACGTAAGCTCGGGCAAAATCATTGAAACCTAGCGGTTTCTTCTATTGTTCTGTGTCCACGTCATCATCATCATAATTATAAAGAGTTACATACATCGCAACAAAACATACAGTAAACCTAACTTTTATACCGGATGTATAACAATGCGTAATTATTCATTTTTATCACTGGGCTTCACATTATACTTTAGCCACCCTTACAAACTATATAGTTGGTAATTTTGGTTAAGGGTAAGATTGTCAGCTTTTAATTTTTGAAAGTATACAATTATCTTTATATACATACATTGCGGAGGTGTACGTCCGAAGGGGTGGAAATACTTAATGCGTGAATTTTTTATTAACTTTAAGCTTAAGCCAACCCTAATTGTATCGTTAGAATAACGTTTTGGTAAATATTTAAACCACGATCGTTAAATATTATTAATATTATTTACAGTATAGAGTTAACCATTCTAATGCAGTTATAAGTTATAACAATACATATTATACCCACAGATACCTACTATTTAATTCGAATTAAAAATCAATTAACACATGGTGGTTACATTTTTTTGTGAGCTCGTACTATCTGCAAAGGATCGATCTTGTGTAGGTGTGTTATTATGATATTATCACTGTGAGCTTAGCTGTGTTTTTAAACCACGGCGTTTTCCGGTCTTTTTAAAACTGTCTACGCTTAATTTAGTCCCGATTACAATCGCATTACGTTAATTGAATTATAATGTTATCGTCGTGTATACTGTATGTGTCACGGCGTTTAGACGCAGGTTCCAAACATCCCCAACTCGGTTGGCGTATTAATATTCACGACATAATATTATATTATCACGGCGACCATGATGTCGCAGGGTACAGCGTCGGGTTGCACGAATGACGGATTGCCGGGGCAACTTTTCTTTTGCGTTTGAAAAGTTTTTGCATAACCGTCGCTCGAGGGGTGCCTAAGGTGACTGATGCGCGTGTTTTGGTGAAAATGTAAATTCAAAGTTTCGGTTGGCTTTAAGTTACCGAAATACTTAAGTCCCGTCTTCCTGTTAACCCAACATTCTAAAAATGTATAGATACATACACTACATACTCGGTATGTAAACTCGCACATAATCTAGTAATTTATGAATGGAGAAAGACTGAAAATGGCATGTCACGCAGCCCACACGCGTGTCAACGAATACGTATAATAGGGTTAATTAAATCGATGAATGATCATTAACACGGCACGCACATCGTACTATAATAAATACCTGCAGCACATTTGCATTTTGATTGGTACCTGTACGTGTATATAATATATATTTTTATCGTAAACAAGCATATAATTATTGAGTGTCTACCGTTTTTAAAAATAATTTGCCTAATGAACATTAAACAAATTCTGTAATCTGTATTATTATGTATTTTGTATTACATTGTGCATTAAGTATTAAACTATAATATGAGATATCCCTTCATAAACATAAACTGAACATTGAAAAACGTGTACGTATAATTGCATAATAAAGTCAGTCTATTGTGGGTTCCTACATTACATAATAAATTCAACACATGAATACATACTTAATATTCATTTAAGACTTAAAAAAATTTTCTTTCTTTTGTGCGCACAATACAATCTCGTTATATCTGACGCGCATTGAGTACCTACACGTAACATATCACTGTGGCTGGGCCAACTTTTTTATTGCTGCAATAGATATTGTATTACAAACGAGCACTATTAAACTGCAACAATGCGATGGCCAGTTGTTATTTAATTTAAAAATGTTTTACATTTTAAGAACAATATTTAGTTTACAGATATCATTATTTAGAAAATTCAGCAATGTAAATATTAGCTTGAAAGTTGTCATGTTTATTACACGCACTATACTACACAGTACACACCTATAATAATAAAGAATAATAAAACAATCAATCAATCAATCTTACTACCGTAAGTCATAATGAAATAAATACTTCATTCTTATTATTGTCTGTCACTGGGTGTTATTTTAATTTTTGTAACCATAATTTTCATTTGTATAGCTTACGTTTGATAAATGAAGTATATTTTATTGATCGCTGCAAGGTTATATGACAGCTTAAACACAAACGCTGTTCACAACAATACACGGCCCATTGTTTTACATTTACAGTAGGTATAGGTACAGTAAATTAATATTTAAAAAAATAATGTAATTGTATTAAAAAAATGTCGATATTTTTATTCTCAAACTTGAAAAGGACCGTTCATCAAACTGTTTATTTTTAGTGAATTGAACGACACTCAATCGAGTTTTATAGTATTATTATCTACATCTTTTTAATTCTTTTTAGACTTTTTACCCTCTTCGGCGATACTTAAGTCCGTAATATATGGCATAGATGTATATGCATATAAAAATGCGATTAAACCAGAATTCAATTTCGCGCCCGTCGGATGCAGACGCGCTTCCAATACATTTTTATCCCATCGGTAACGCCACGCGAGTATATATTCCCGTGCATTGCGTCAAGCTTAGTTTATAAGCCCTCGGATCGAGCGAGTTAGTACAAGAGAATGAGATGAAAATCAAGTAGGGGGAAATAAAGAACAATTTCCCACCTAGAATTGAGAAATGAATTTCGTATGCAAACTGTGTAAAGGCGAATAGGAAGCGCGACTTGGTTCCGGAATCGGGAAGACTCTTGTTTGGAAGAGACAAGGCGGGGGGAGAACGCATCTAGACCAAGACAAATAAAAAGGAGAGAAAAAGTCGTGTCCCTCTCATGGGAATGCAAAGCTTTGTTGTGCAAAGGAGAAAAAAATATACATGGCGAAGGTATTACAAATCTGGTTATAAAGTTGGCCGAGCACGAAAATAATCCAATCAAGCATAAGTCTGATTTTAAGAGAGGACTGTACATAATAATACATCATTCAAAAACAACAAAAACCGTTTTAATAACATTTATTATATACGAGTAACTCTTAATTAATTTATCAATAAACATTTTAAATTATTTTTTCTTTTTTATATTTCCGGTGACCAAAACTTTGCTTCGCCGAGTAAGTTTTATTGAATCAGTTTTAAACCATCACATTTTATTTCACTCTTTCCGTATAAATATTTATATAGTACTTTTTCATCATAGTGTATGTATATATAATATATTATACTACGATGAAAATATTAAATATGACGTATAATATGCTTGTATTCATAATACACTTATATTTACTTACGCATTATTACCATACGGTATATTATTATGTTTATAAGAAGCTGTGATAGAAAGAGATATTATTATAATATTATGGTTTTGGAAGCAAAATATAACGTCGGCCGATGCTAATTTTTAGTCGCGATTTATTACCGCAAGTAAGTTTTGTCTTAATTGGTTTTTACTGCTCCACAAAATGTTCACTCGACCAAAAAGTTACGCCACTCGTTCAGCGACCATGGTCCCTCAGTAATTATTCAAACGATGAAAATATGAATAACTTTATTACCAAAATTCACTCACGCTAAAAGTTTCCACAGTTATTGCAACAATGTTTTCCGATGTTTTCGGCAAACAGCTATAGTCAGTGTTAGTGGCCGCTTTTAGGTTGCTCCAAAATTTATGATGTCCAAGGAAAAACACCAAGCAAATGAAACACGTAATTTAATTTATTTTAATTTTATATTCAAAATCCTCGAATTGGGCTGTTGGGGTTGATAATTAAAATTCTGGTTAGATAATCTTAGGCTTCTAGATTTGGTTTCAAAACCATTCACCATTTGATACAATTGATGATTTGGGTCGAAAGGAGGCCACATTACCACATTCATTGTGCCACTATTCGCGTCTCTGTCGTTTATTTATAGAGGCCAAAGATACTTTGGATTAACATTGGAAGGATCTAACAGCCGTTATACCATTGCCTCTAGATATTTACGGTCGTCGTTTACTATCAATCGTTTCAATGTTTTATCACAAAATGTAAAATATATCTATTGAAAACCTCAAAGTCGATTTGTTTCAGAGATAACTTTAAAATTGTTGTATCGTGTGAAGTTAATTATTTAGAACTACCTTCAGATGTTGAATTCAATGTATAAAAACAAAATTAAGTAAAGTGCCAGCACACCAATATAGTATATTTAATTTATTAAATAATATTCATATAATTCACATAATTGTATTTATTATTAAGTACCTACATGTCATGATTATCAATAGAAATGTGTCAATATATATTATATATCTAAAAATAAATTAAGTTATAAATTATTATTAAACACTATTTATTAAATTCGTGATAATTTATAAATTATTAATATTTATAAAAAAATTGATGGATAACTTTTTGACATTTAAAACTATTCATTTTCAGTATTTTGTATAGCCTATTAAATAACTTTAATCTTTTTAAAAATACTACAGCGTGTCACAAAAATTATTTTAAATATTGTCTCTGAGAATGCTGTAAAAAAAACTTATACATTTTTAAATAATTGTTGTTTATTTATATAATTCAGCACTATTATTGTACAGTGCATTGAACATTTATTTGTCTTGAAAATTAATAATTTATTTAAAATTAATTATACTTCACATAAGAAATAAATTATAATAAATTGGTACGTAAAAATAAATTTACTATTCAATAAACAATCTTATTGACAAAGGATAAAAAAATAATTTGTATTACAAAATGTGTGATACAGAGACTATAATAATTGTAAACTAAGTTAACTGTTCTAATATTTAGTTAAATTATATTGAGTAAATAATTGATAAAACTAAAATCATATTAATTTATTTTTATATTTTTGAAAATTGTATTTTAAATGTTCAATATATTAGTAAAATTAAATATGAATAAATAATATTATATACCTGTATATAATTATTTTTGCTATTATACATTTTGATTATAAATTTTTTTTTTACTTAACGTAAAGCTTTGACATCATTGGCTATTAGCCTACATTTGTAATTATAAATTATAAAGCAAATTAATCATATTGTGATAGTACCCATTCAATTTAGTAATCACTAGTTCAGTTAAAGTTAAATTATGCACGATGAAAAAGTAAACATTTATTAGTATTTGTTTAATTCGTTTATCATACAAAATATATTTTTTTTTTAAACTAGGAAAAATATTAAAACATGTTTACAATATAATAATTTATGTAATATTACGTAATGCAGATCTTAAAAATGTATAACCAATGATACCAGCGAACAACTATACTATGATACTATTATTATTATTATGTGGTTATCTAAAGTTTCCCCACTTTGAATTACATACTATGTACGAGTATATTATTATCGTAAGCAGTATAGACATAATTTCAACAGTTATTTTCCCAAATAATATAAGCAATTAATACGATAATCGCTATCAATACATTTTTTTTAAATATATTATAATCAAATACCATCATACTACCACTCGTTTTTATTTTATTATCTGGGAGGTTATTTCAGGCAGTGTTTGGACTCGTAAGATAGGTACTCTCCCAGTCTCCCGCGTCTCTCAGACGTATAAACAGTATTGTGACTGAGGAATAAATACGTAAAAACTTGTATACTACACGCAAGTAGGATTTTAAGACATTCGATTCTCATATTTCAGATTCGCGACACGACCGCGTCGGCAAAACCATTCCGTTATTTTTATTACAATTCGTAATCATCGTCGCGATGAAGACGTGCTCATACCTTTTAGCGTGTGCCACACGAACGGAGAGCCGAAAAGTGTCCGATGACCGTCGTTGACGTTTTCCTCGAGGCGTCATGACTCGTGACCCTATTATTTCGTCGCTGGCCGCGGTCGTCTGGAACGTCCGACCGTCGTCGTCGTCGGCGGGTGAGGAGTGAAACGCGTCGACCGGGGTGACTGTGCTTGCGGGGTAGTTCGCACGAGAACGTGGTCCGGAGTCGACTGATCCGATATAATGTCCTACGGGCACAGCGACAGCGTTCGTCCCCGGCACGGCGTACCATAATAATAATAATAATAATATATACGACGCGGTCCCGTCGGCTGCCACTGGGGGCGCGCAGTGTATAGCCGTCGGTTTACCCTGCGGCGGTGAGATGGTTCCCCTAAGTATATAATATTGTGTGTGTGCTCGCGTGTGTGTGTGTGTGTGTGTGTGTGTGTGTGTGTGTGTGTGTGTGTGTGTGTGTGTGTGTGTGTGTTGTAGATTTTGAATAATTGTCCGTGGCGACAATCGGATTACTGTCGAAATGAGGAACGTTTTAAAAAATACGATAATAATTATTATGCACCAGTGCAGGTGCACACTGTTTGGCATTTGTGTAACCCGCAACTGCCCTCTTAATAATTATTCTCAAGTACATATTATATTATTATACTTTTATATTATATAACACCCAAAGCTCGAATTATTTATAATAACACGTCGTGATCTTTATGATATTTTACTTTATTGAAATAGTATATCATATTATTATAATATAGACCAGGGTGAACGTGTCTGTAGTTGGAGGGCCAATTTACACATTAATAAACACCAGGGAGATCGCCGAAAGAAAAAAAAGTTGTATTCGTATTTTATTTTATAACAATAACATATTATAATAATATAATCAATAAACAAGTTATCACATTGTAGAATACGTATAGATTAGTACTGCCGCCGCGCCTTATCCCACAACCTTAGTTTTTTTTCATCACACTTATAACAGTAAAGTTATTTAATATATTCCTTCTAAGGCTGGCAAAAAAAGACTTGGGGGGCGTGGGTCGGACCACCAGATATAGATTGTCATTTTGACAAAATTAAAAATTAAAAAAATTATTGATAAAAGTGAAATTATTTTGTAAACATTCATTACTGTCATAAATTAATTTAGCCGTATAAAAACTTTCCCAAAATCACCTAAATTTATCTAGAATATATTGTAGTAGCTGACAATATGGTAAATATATTATTTTCAGGATCACAGTATTTAACTTGTAGCTACGTATTTTTTAATGGTTCAAAACTATAAATTCGATTTGTTGGTAGTTGGCCAATATAATATTCTATATAATATATTATGAATTATTGCTGGAAATATTTAAGTACAACATTTTCTAAAACAATACACAATAGAATACGTATAAGCACTCAATAAATTTAATTAAAATCAATCACTCCACGGGCCCGCAATATCAACGGTATATTATAAAATACATATTTAATACCCAAAGTGGAAACTAATGTTACGGGCACGTTGAAATTCACATTTAATGCATTAAAATATACATATAAATATTATGCATATGCGCATAATATATACCTAACTACGTTCTTTTTTTTTTTTTAATATTATTATTATTATGACGTGTGCTCCGGAAAATTAAATATCCTAACACGCCCAGTGTATAAATATTATTTTTTTATTCGCACCCTTCTTGATTTCTGCCGCTCTAAAATAATAATATAATACATACGCATATATAATAATATAATAATATATATAGGTAGGTAAATATAATATGCATTATACGTATATAAAATATATACATGTCCCGTAAACAATATTGCGGTTGATAATGGAATCTCCGTGTACGCACCAATCACGATGATGGTTGACAGTGAGAGAGGTGTACGTGCATTTGTGTGTTTAATATTATATTTCATCACTGAATCGTTAACGAGATATATGCCATATGCGTATTTGAGTATGTATATATATATATATAATATGCGTATTTACGTCAGATAAATAAACTGCACGATTACGTGTACAACCGATTAAACTTATGGAAAACGAAAAATGTTCTTTATTTCAGTGATAACCTAAAAGATATCGAAATAATAATATATGTTTATGCCATAATATAATAATAATATGTATAATGTATACGCATAATACCTGTATATATGACCTATATATTACGGCTGCGCCGGGGCGCGTCAATCTCTCGGGATAAGCAAAAAGTCCATAAACTTTTCTTTTTTTCCCTTGCCAAAAGATACTTTGCAAGGGACTTTGCAAGGGAGAATTATTTTAAACACTCGTTTAACATAATGCTATACGCACACAGCAGCAGAGCGCAGTAATATATTTTAAGATTTTGACTTCTCCACTCGTTTTCTACACACATATAACTGTAATACTATAACTATATAATATAACTTTACAATTTGACTGAATACGCATAGGTAGTTATACAATAATCGAAATCGCATGGTCTTTGCAATGAAAAAAAAATGCAATATTTCCAGAGGACCATTAGCGGATTATGGTAAGCATTATGAAGCTGCAATGCATGGTTAGGTATGTAGTAACATATTATCATATTATATTTATATGCATTGTCCGCGAACAAGTAGTTTGCCCACACGGTGTAATGGTGTGTAGATCATTTGAGCGGGTGTGTTAAAATTCTGAAACGGCTAGTCATCGTATTCGAAAAATAATTTAAAGGAGACACGCACTTCAAAAATAAATTCATATTTAATACAACCGCGGTGCGGACAAACACATACGAGTGAATATTATATTATACAAAAAAAAAATACTGATGGACGACTTTTCACGATAATTTGTAGCATTTTTTTTTTTTTCGGAACCTTAAAACGAGCAATCTAGTTGTTGTTGTAGTTGCAAGAGTTTATACACACGTGATTGAGTCGTTTTACTATAAAAATGATAACGATATTATATTCAAGATATTCAACCAATAAAACTGATGAGCGTCGTAATAAAGTTGGAGCTTTTCTTCTCGATTTTTCATCGCATCGAGACATCATACTCTATATACATATACACATATTATTATAATGGGTCATGGAATTTCTAGTCCATTAAACACGTGCTTCCACGTGGACGCCCGCGCCATTACGTTTTCGCTCACAATAATAATTTCTGAGCAATACTAATAATAATAATAATAATGATCATTACTGTTGAATATTATTATTATTGTGCAATACATTTACAAATAGAGTCGTAATTAAACGCCAATTTGAGTATTTGGTTTTGGGAAGTCCGACACATTTTGACGTTTATAATGGCGCACTTTGTCTGGTTCAGCAGCTTTACGTGCAGTACACTCAAACTTGGTTTATAATATATTGTATATAATATAATGTCCGTATAATTATTTAAGCACATTCGCCTGGCCAGACGACATATTTATGACCTGCACTACTGTACACTGCTAAGGGTACATAGTTCATATAACCTTTTCACCGACAAAATAAATGCAAAACGAAATTAATAATCTGCGTGGTAGGTAATAAATTCATTTTGGGTACATTTTTTTTTTTTCGTCTTCCGAGTAAAAATACAATTTTGTCCCCACGTAGACGTGTTTTTTTCGCAGTTTAACATATGAATTCGTGTAATATTTTATTTATAATTGATTTTATCTGGAATTGATTGCTTACGAGAATTATTTTTTATTTTATGAGCTCATTATGGGTGAAACAATATTTAATAAATACTACAATGTGATTTAGCCGATGGAGGTATAACGTTAACTGTTGTACAGTAATGTTATAGTCCACCATTTCGGATTATGTCTTTTATCTTACACTATTTTTAAAATTGTCTTGTCCTAATAGCCTGTAAAGCGTATTAGTGTAGCAATGGTGTACAACTTAATTTTGTAAGTTTGCTTTTATATGGGTTAATGGATTATCAGGTCTTGTTTACGTATATTTATTTCGACAGTTAATAACATTCTAACAGTTGCGACGTTAATGGTTACTTGCTACATAGAAGTAGGTATAGAACTATTTTGTTATAACTACCAAGTATACCTACGTCTTACTTACCAAAGGCAGGAGGCATTGACTAGTTATAAAGTAAATTATTTTAACTTTTTAACTTAACTAGTTAGTTTATTGTATAGTTAACTATACTATGTAACTTAACTAGTTAAAGGATCCATAGAAACAGCTTGGCTTTTTCTATTTAGTTAGAAAAATAATAGATACTTTAAAGTAAAATCATAGGTATATCAGTATATGATGGTGAAAACACTATATCAACTAAAAACTTTTACAGTTAAATATATTGTTTATTAAGTAATAACTTTTCCAAAATTAATTTTTTCACTAACTTATCCACCTTTGCTACTATACTACTGGTTTTGCTTACGATAATATATATAGATTCTTACTAATTAATGAATGACAAAAATTAAAATTATTTTTAAAATATTGAAATCAAATTTATAATTGTGTGTTGTCTGTTCCGTTGTAGTAATAATTAAGTTATAGTATCTATACTGAAAATTATATTTAAAGCAATATAAAGTAAGTTATGATATCAACTGTAATTTCATTATTTCAATAAAATGTTTATTTCAAATTAATTTTCATAATATTTGTTTCGTGCATATTAAAAAAAAAAGATTCAATTTCATTTTTCACATATTTTACACTTTTAAATAGGTAGTATTATAAAACTTTTGTACTTTTATTCTACCCAACATATAGTAACATCGTAACAGAAATTAATTTTAAAAACCGTTCTGTATACATTTTAATGGACTTATAATCCATGAATAGTATAATATAGTTGTACTAGCTGTTCTGCCCGACGTTATCCAGGCCAAAGATTTCTATTTTTAATAAATATATATTTGCAAAAAAAAATGTATATTCCATACAAAATTTCATTTTTCATAAGTAAACTGAAAAAAAAATCGTACTTGAACTACAGAGCTACCTTTTGGCTACCTATAAAAGTTGAAAAAATAAGCTATAAACACCCTCCAAGTTTCAAATTATCTGTTGATAAAACTTTTATTAAAAACGGGTCCAGTCGTTTTTTGAGGCTTTTAACTTTGGATGAACCAACATTCAATTTTAGTTGTATGAACCAACTTCGACGGTGAAAAAATTAAAAAATACTAAATGTAGGCTATATATGTGTAGGTATCTTGGGTTTGGCATACTTCAGTTTATAGGCAAATTTGCGTAGGTGTACATCGCTTTATAAGCTAA